AGCATAGCTTCGTAATCCCCACACATCACACCAGCGTAAACGGCTGTGTCACCACCTCTCAAGCCCTCGATGGTCATGCCACCGGATTCGATAGCTTCGTAGACGGTCTCAAGCAGCATTCTTTGTTGGGGATCCATAGCTCGAGCTTCGATGGGGTTGATACCGAAGAATTCTGCATCAAAGACTTTCGGGTCTTTCTCAAGAAGGTACGAGTGCATAACATTAGACCGACCATGGTGAGAGTTGTTTTCGTGGAAAAAGCCTTTGGCGCTGAATCTGCTCTCTGGGATCTCTCGACGGGCATCGCGAGGGTTTCGGAGTAGCTCCCAGAGTTTCGAAGGAGAGCTCGCATCGCCGGCAAAGTGACAGGCACTGCCAACTATGGCGATTGGTTCGTTGGTTATTGTTTTGGAGTTCATTGTTGTTGCGTATCAACAGGCTTTTGGAGGGCAAGAAGGTTTTGGCGCAAGTCCCGTCAAGCAACGGGAAGTCTAACTCGAGAGGCAGAAGTGGTAACTCTATCCAAAGACTTTGGACGAGTCGATGGAGGGTATTGAGGTTCGGTCATACATTCAGCAATCCTGATTCGGAGATGGGCGCTGAACTGTCTTCTGCCGACCTATGATTTGCTGTTTGCTACGGAGCTCTTCCGTGGTGCCAGTGGATGGCAGTTGCCCGAAAGTCCGAGTTCTCGGTCTCCTTCGGCCGGCATGACATTACTAGTGAAACGTCTCAAATAGGAAACCGTCACCGAATATTGAGTAGTCATGTGGTGGCCAGCCAATGGACCGACCGATCGGTACGCCGCAACGCCACAGATTAGAAGTTATGTGTGGCTCTCCAGCTACTTGCAACATGAAATGGATGCCTCAGCTGAGGATTGTCTCTATTCTTCCCGGATTGAAGATTGAAAGATTCAACATGATAGCTAGCTGGTCTTATGACCATACTTTTCAACGACTTTATGATCCTGTCTAAATTGAAACATTAACGTGTAAAGAGGAACATATTGTAACTACTCGATAATTTCAGTTCCGTGGCGAAACTATAAGAACACAAGTACAGCTTTCATGCGTTGATTTACCTGTAATCATGATCATTGACAAATCTCCGTGGCTATCTTCAGTCATACACCATTATCTCATGGTCTAATAAAAGTCGTGTAACTGCCCTTCAGTCCATTCCCAAAATCTTTTCGCGTGTCCATTGCCCCCTTCCTGTTCAGTCTTCGTTGCATCTTCCAAGTCCGGGCGGATTGGATACAAACGACCCCATGGGACCACTAGAAAAATGTCAGCGTTGCAGTAGAGCTTCACATCTGCATGGAACTTACCCCATTTTCCACTTTCCTTCATCGTGATGTTAGGTGATAGCCCGGAAAATAACTCTGTATAAGCACCAAATATAGGCGGCTGAAGAACCAGAGTCTTGATCAAGCTTTTGAACAGAAATCCTCCGTCCCGGTAAAGGTCGGAGTTGAGATGTCCAGGATTACAAGGCACGCTAACGATGCCATCCTCCTGATGGCGTCTTGCAAACTCCACCCCATGCAGCCAATTGCCAGCTTTGCTGATTCCGTACCTTTCCAAAGCCATTAGGGACGGCCAGTAATTGAGGTAGTCCAGGGAAATTCCATGGGACTTTTCGCCGACAACTTCCGTCCCCATCGAAGAAACCCAGACTACACGAACTGAGTTGGGCGGCTCGACCTTCGCCGTGGAGGCCAAAATGGGCGTCAAGAGCTTGGTGAAAAGGAACACCCCAAGGACGTTGACACCGAGATGGAGCTCATGGCCTTGTGCAGTCTTGATCGAGCCGTCGCTGTTCTTGAGTGCTTGAACAGCGGCATTGTTGAAAAGCACGTGAAGCTTGCTTTCTTGGGAGGTAAACTTCTCAACGGCAGGCTTGATGGTGGAAAGGTCGGCGAGGTCAAAATACAAGAACACCAATCCCCCTTTGCTCTCAGGCCACTTCTTCTTGATGTCTTCTATGGCTTGCGTTGCTTTCGTCTCAGATCGAGCAGCAACGTAGACTTTGGCATTTTTAGAGTAAAGGATCTGGGCGACTTCCTTGCCTACTCCGGTGTTGGAGCCAGTGACAATGTAGACCTTTGAACCAATCAGCGAGCCTCTCTATGTGGACTGAATTTGGCCATGCCATTGACATCTACCTTTCCTGACAGATCTGGAATGTCTTTCTCGGTAAAACTTGGTTTCGGTGGCCATGTCTGAGTTATGATGCTAGAGAACGACAAGAAAGGAGGCAGAGGCGGCCGGGTAGCGGGTTTGTTCGTCGTCATGGCGATTGAATTGGGTCGTAGGAGATGCTCCTGTTGGTCGCTTCCAGTTTCACCCAAGAATGAATCATATCCCATTGTAATTCAATAATCCAGGCGGTGATGCTCGAGGGAAAGCAATCCAATGGGGAAACCGAGACCGACCGGCTTCGGGGCCGGGGTTCTTCGGTGGATCAAAACCTTAAATTCAGGAGACGGGGCGGGCACCGGCTTTAGATCGATTGGAGTTCCCCGCCACGAAATCCGGTTACACTGGGCTTACTGTTGTGTATGCAGTAATTCCATCGATCTACTTGTTTTCCTTTTCTTCTGTCCTTTGCCTTATGTCCTTTTCGTATCGTGAACAAAACGCGACAGCCTTCTTGGCCCATAGAGCGGCAACTCTCGTCGGAGAATCAGTTCGCCAGATGTTTGATGTCCGGAGCTTGCAGACCACGAGCTGACCCATTCACCAGTCCCATCTTCAAGCCGCTCGCTTACGCCGTTGATGTCTACTAAGATATTCTAATAAGAAGAAAAAAAAGGCACCCGATCAGCATCCAGCAATCCAACTTCGAGGTAGCTGAGACCTGGACGCATGCAACTGCGGTTGAGGTAGTGAACATTGGTCCGTAAAGCTCTCGACGATCTCGCCGTCTTCCCATTGGTCATTTCTCCCTGGAAAGACGTCGATGTCGAAGTCGCCGCTTCGCCGAACTCTGACGAAGGATTGCGTACGGCCCACGTTAACTTATTCCAGATCCAAGTCACACCATTGGGCTATTATGGTTATGTCAGTGACTGTAGTGCTGTTTGAAATGATTTTGACTCGGGTACAAGACGCTAATGGGCTGCTCCCCCCTGCATCCACCGTACACTACTACGCACGCATGTGCGAGTCGTGCTGTTGACCCCTCAAGACGGCTTCGGGAGAACCTCGTCCTTTTTTGGCCGAAATTTCCGTCATGTTGGATTGCCAAGCCGGCCGCCCACGCGGGCGGCCGTAGTTCAAATACGAAGTGAGAGCTTAATTGCTTCCATCCGGGTTGTGGGGGATAATGGAAATGCATGTTTCTGCTCTGTTTGTATGAATGCATTCTTCATCGATTGCTTGATGCCCAAATCATGGTCCTTGTAGTGCCGTGGCAGGGTCAAGCTTTGAAGCTCACGAGCTGGTGCAACATGGAATTCAATGTACGATCCAAGCTTTGTGTTTCAGAGGACTGTCAGTCTCTTTTCGCTGACATCTGCTACCAAAGTGCGTGAAAATGTGAAAATAAGATGTCAGGTTTTGCAGAGTCCTCTGGCTGCCACAATGGCTCTGAATATAACCACAGCACGTAAGGAACAGTCTTGAATACTGGTTCGTCAAATGATTACAGCCCCTGTCACAATTAGAAAGCATGTTTCTACCAAGGAAACGACCAAGTGCCGGGCCCGCAGGTTCGGGAGTACCGCCACCGCGGAACGACGCCAAGACATCTCTGAACTTTGTTTTATGGCGTTCCCAGCATAGGACGAATCCGATTCGTAAGACATCGAGAAGGCCCATATGAGGATTCATGGCCTTGACCAGAAGTTCATTGGAAAAGGAGGCGTCCCCTTTCAACAACATGTGTATATATCGTCTTCTTAACCGGCTACAATAGAGAATCAGACGACATCTCCATACGAGGCACGACTTCGACAGCTTGCACTCTTCGCACATTCGTTTTACTAGTATTGGCTGCATACAGCCATTCCGTCAATCTTTAGAACTGAAGGCTTGACAAAACCGCCTTACCAGGAAGACCATCCTGTCTCACAATGTATTTCAAAAATACCTTGGCTCTTGTCGCGCTGCCGGCCTTGGCCTCAGCCGCCTACACCACGGAGTATCTCACCGGCTCTTCGAACAACACCATCCAGGTTCTCGTCGAAGGAGAGGGCCCATCATTGCTTGTATGGCCATCATACGCCCGCGACAGTATCGAAGACTTCCACGAGTTCTCCACCGCACTTGCCGAAGCCGGGTATCGAGTCCTCCGCCCTCAACCCCGAGGCATGGGCAAATCCACCGGCCCCATCAAGACGACCTGGGATGAGCTCGGCGCCGATGTTGCTTCGGTCATTGACACTTTCGGCAACGGCAAGGCCGTGGTGCTAGGCCACGCCGCTGGCCAGAGGGTCACGAAGCACATGGCCGCTACCTTTCCAGAGAAGGTACCGTCAATCGTATTGGCATGCATCAACACCGGAATCAACACCAACGCCACCATTGCTGCCACGGCGACGATCGCCAGCAACTACAGCAACCCTGTCGAGGAGAGACTTGCGGCACTGGAACTGGGCTACTTTGCCCCTGGCCACAACGCATCAGTCTGGTTGTCGGGATGGTTCCCCGAGGCCGTCGGCTCTGTCTCGGGCACTGGTGTGAGCACTCTTGGAGGAAACAACACGCAGATCCTCGATGTCATTGCAAAGTTGGACCCGTGGAGAACAGAGGACCAATGGAACTACACCACCGGTCTGGCGGGTGATCGCTCTACGGTGGTGTTTGTTGAGGACGCATCCCATGCATTGTTCCCCGAGAACCTGCAGGGGCTTCTTGATGTTCTACTCCCGTGGTTGAAAACTCAAACATCTGGATGGCTGTAGAGACTTCTTGGTCCCGAAACAAGTTAGATGGTAGAAAATTGAGTTGACACTCACCAACGAGCAGTCGTCTTTGAATGAATACTAGAATTCAAACATTCTCTGTGTTATGTACGTTCAACCGGTCATGTCCTGCCCTTTGTCCACCTGCTGCTATTGGAGGACCCCGTGACTCAACGTTCATCGATGGTTCCCTGAATCTAGCCATCTCCGGCATGGTCTCAAAATCCAGATTATGTCCTTCCAACTCCTCTGTAAAGCTACGATTAAGTTCCGTTGTCAAGGTAGTAGAATCTTCCTTTTGATTCTCGGCAAACGGACTGATCAGCTGCCTGACATATCGGTCCATTTCACCGAGTCGACCAGGGTGTCGTAGCCCGGCTTCTGTTGTCTCGTCTTCGGTAGTAATGCGCGCCATCCCACCGTGATGATCTCTCGGGCTGATTCGACCCAATTCCATCTGATTCGGAAACTCTCTTGACGTGCTCTCAACCTTGACCTCGCGCGTAACGTAGATAAAGTTGTTCCATGTCTTGGTGACGACGGGCCAAAACACGGGGATTGATGCCAACGCCAGTGATAATCGGTTCTCGGTTTCTCCAAGTAATATGATTGTCGGGAATGATTTCGTCGGATCGGGCTCTCGATCTGAAGTCGCCCTGTTGGCGACGATGCGCCCTCCTGCTATAACGTTGATTCTAGATGACCGATTAGTTCCCACGTCCTGTTGAACGCCAGTAACAGCACGCAAACAGATTCTTTGCATGCGCTTACAATGCTCCGATGAACAGTAATCCCATCAGGCCCAACTTTGTTCGTCGAATAGTGTCGTCGCTAAATAGAAGAGGGATAGGCAGGACAAGAATGATAAAGTCCAAAGCCATATTTGTCGCATTAGATGACACGACTACGTTGTAAACTTCCATCGAGTTGGTGGAGCCGTATCCGTAGCAGTTCGATTCTGAACCTAGACGATAGAACTGCTGGACTGGGAAGCACGGGAACCACGCCATGAAGGAGAAAGCGAAGCCCCACATCGAGACGATGATAATCAGCATCGTTGTCGCAACTCTGAGGTTTCGCATGCGGCCTTTGAATAACCGGAGGTATTGTAATAGGATCGATAGTTTCACTAGGGCATTTGACGTGGAAAATGACGCGTTTGACATGTAAAATAACTGCTCCATGTGTGAGCCTAAGTCACTTTGTTGTGCCTACGAATGGGCCCTGCTCACGAGAAAGAACATCTCTCTGTCGCTATCGGGGACTTCTTTAAAAGGGTGTCCCATGCCATAGTTGGTTCCTGTTGCTCCGTTAGTCTTAAGTGCTGCTGCAGAGCACAAACATCGACTGGGTGGGTGTGCGGTTACCAAGAGCAAGTCCTATCGCGCTCGCTGAACCAGCAAGCTACGTAGTAGTCAGCAACCCGTCATCGACATTATTGAATAGAACCCGTACCAATGCTAGCAAAACGACGGCATCATCCCATCCAGGTGCTCGTACGATCCGTACTCTGACAAATATTCTTAGGCCGACGCAAAACCAAGCCACAACCTATAAACGACTGTCAGCAGCAAGTCGCAATATCATATTTTGCGATGGTTCATACCAAGCCAGACGAAATGACGGCTACAATTGTGCTTTTGCGATTTTCAAACGGCAAACCCTCGTCGGTGTAATGAGAGGGGAATTCGCCAGCACGGGTGAGGTTCCCGTACATCGTCGTGAAAGGGAAAACCCGACGACTACACTAGACTCACGACCACAACAAGCAACCGTAGCGGATTCATCCATTGTCGCATGGCAGAATTTCTATCACGAAATGGAGGGGAAGTCGTCCAGTGTATTACCCCCCGAGAATCCGGAGGGGGGTCGCGCACGTGATTGACGGCTCCTTTACTGTTTCATCCTCGTCAGGAACTCGTACTTTCATTCGATGTGTAGATAGCTACCGGGCGCAAGCTTCCACACGCCAATGACTCGGTTCCCTCACACTTTGACAAATTCACCAGCTCACCCACGCGACTTCAAAGCTTATTTTGCTTTTACATTGCGAACATTGGTCTGGAGTTCTATGCTAGCAAACCTACGACACGTGGCGCGGGGGACGCAACCCAATTAAGGTAGTAGAAAATGCATGTCAATGGTTGAGAAAGCCGTCGGGAACCTCGTGGGAGTGGGATGCCGATGAGCAGACTTTGGGATGAGCAGGATTAGTCCGGGGAGGGGATCTGCACCGGAGACATCCTACGGCTATTTTGCTGCGGAGTGAATCCGCGACTCCGCGACTCCGCACCCAGCATGTATACCCCTGATAACAGGCAATTATTCAGAGCATTTGTCCTCACAAGAAGGCTGATGGGATCAATGCCTCCGTGGAGATCATTGGATTGTGGGATTCCTAGCTCGAGTAAACCCGGGGATAAGCATGAAGAGAATCCGAACGCATCGGTGCCGTCGGATACCGCCCCTCACTTGGTAGGGTCAGGTTTGCTTGACTTTGACTTTGAACCAAAGTCTATTTGGTCTACTAGTTCTTCTCATTGGGAAATGCTGGAGCCTGTGAGACGAATGCACCCCTCTCAGACATCACTCCATCGTCCATAGAAACACGTGGTACGCCGCATGCTAAGACCACTTAGACAGGTCTGTCTCTCACAGTCTCCCACATTTTTGATGAAAGTGCTGAATTAAGACACATGAGATAATAACTGGCACGAAAGTTCAGAAGACAGAAGCATGCAACACTATGTGGGTGGGTGAACGGACCGTTAATTAGAGCTTGGCTACTTGTAGGCACCAACTCGCCTGTCGTTGTACCAAGATGAAGGCGCGCGGACCAGTTCGGTCAGTTCTCGTCGGGTTTCGAAAGAAGTTGACTCCGGATGACACAGGGCGAGTAGTATAGGGCGCTTGTCCTTAAAGTGAGGCTATCACGAATGCATTCTACCCAGTCTATCAACCTATGAAGATGCACCAGAACCCGAATACTTCGGCTTCAAATACATATACAGCCCACCCTTCTCCCACATGAGATACGATCGTTGCTTGTCCATCCAACCTCGGCTCTGCTGCGTGACCTCAACATCGAAATTCCACAAAACACGTGCCAGGATGAACCGCATCTCGGCGTTGGCGAGGCTAATCATTCAGTCAGCAAGTGTCCCGCACTCAAAATGGTTGGACGATACTCACTTCAACCCAATACAGTTGCGAGGGCCGTATGAGAACGGGTGGAACCCTTCTCGCCGGTCGGTGGAGAACTCCGAAGTCTTGCTGTCGGCGAGCCATCGCTCGGGGATGAATTCGTCGGCACGCTTGAAGTTGGCTTCGCTGCGGTACATGACGCGATGCGGGATGCCCACAATTGTCTACAATAACTATCAGCAAGAAGTATTCCCTCAATTCAACCCGGTGTATCAACTAACATTTCCCGGAATGAAGTCTCCAAGGATCCAGTTGCCCTCGGGAGGCGTCGTCCGCCACAACGCATTCGGCCCGGGAGGGTGGTACCGGAACGTCTCGTCGATGACAGCGGCCAGGTAACGTAGCTGCATGGCGCTGCGCATGTTGATCTCGTCTTCACTTTTGAACGTGTCTTGCAGTTCCTTCATGAGCTTGGCCTTGACTTCCGGGTATGACGCCAGCATGTACATGATTCCTGAGAGGGCGCTTGCCGTCGTCTCCGCACCTGCGAGGGTCAAGGTGACAGCGTTGCTGTAGATTTCTTCTTGCGACATTTTCTGTTGATTCAAACAGTCAGTACTTTCACTGAAGCATCAGGTTGTCTAATGGGGGCCGAATCATACCAAGCCGTCCTTTTGAGTGAGCATGACCTGCACCAAATCAGGCCTCTCCACATTGAGCGCAAGCCTCCGATCGACCGTCTCCCTCAAGACCTTACGGTGCTGCGCATACTCCCTGACCAGCTTGATCGTCGCCAACACAGGGGCAAAGAAGAAGAAGAATGGGATACGCGTGCACAGCAGAATTATGTATGTCAACTTGATGTTGCTCAGCACGAAGGAGATCCACGGATGCATCATGGACTCCCGTAGACATCCAAACGGCTCGCCAAACGCCAAGTCTCCCGTGACGTCGAACAGGCAGTACACGAACCACTGCCAAAGATCAATCGCGGCCTTGCCGTCCTCAGCCCGTTCTCTCAGGCGCAGGATCAGCAGGTCGACGTATCCCGCAATGGCCGGCTCCTGCTCCAGCATGGCGTTGGTGGTGAAGCCGTTGCTTAAGATCTTGCGCATGCGTCCGTGGTCGCCCGTCGCGGCGCCGAGGATATCGTTGGCGTCTTTGCTGAGATACCACGACGGCTTCTGGTTCTCCTTGCGCTTGCCGGCGCGGTAGCGGCCGTAGACATCGTCCCACGCTTCGGGGATCGCGTAGGAGAGCTCGTTGGGCCCAACGCGCACGATGGGGCCGTACTTTGTGTGGATGTCCATCAGACTGTTGTGCATGTTGCCGGCCATGAAGGAGAAGCCCCATGGGAGGACGGAAGCTGCCCATAGTTTCGGGCCTGGGTATTTGCGGAGAGGGTGGAAGTAGACATTGTAGATGGGTCGCAGGATCACGAGGTAGACGAGAGTCTGCCTCATGTGTCAGCGTATTCTTTTGTGTTTGCCGTGACAGGATGGCTCACAAGTCCGGCGACGACAGCGCCTAATATGGGCCATGAAAGCCCGAGTGTGACTTCGGCCAGCATTCTTGCGACTTCTCGTCGCAGTTCCGTCTCCAAATGACTTCAGATGAGAGCAAAGTTGAGGCTGGACAGTGACAGAAACTCTGCCGATTGATGACTTGCATGAAGGTTCAAGCCGATCCAGAATGCTGGGAGCAAGCCACTTCCAGAAAATGGCAGGAAATTCGATCTGCTAACCACAGCACCAGTCTTTGCAACACGCACCAGAAGCCAACTAGTCCATCCGAATCCTAAGCTTCGCACATCGCATTCTTCAGGTCCCTGTCTCCGGCTACTGCGTGGGACGATGTCCGGCCCCGAGTCGCAAGCCGCCATTCGGAGGCGGGGTTCGGTGCCGGTTTCCTAATCCGGAAACCAAGTCTGGGGAGCAGGGATCTCTCACCTTGCGCGATGTTGCGACGTTCTCTATCGTTCGAGATTGATTCCAGCCACTAGGTTATATGGCTAGATGGGCATTTTAGCAATTTGAATCCGAAGCCTAGAACTCACACATAACGAAAGCGTCCTCCGCAGTAAGATGGCATTACCAAAAACCCAAACCGCAGTGATCCAGTCGCAATCAGCGTCCAGAGAGTCCGGCCTGCGTTTGGCCGTCTGCACCTCCAAGCCCATTCCAGAACTACCCACGCCATACCATGTTCTCGTCCGCGTCCTCGCCGTGGGCCTCAATCCCACAGACTACAAGATGGTCACTCACTTCTTCATGGAAGGCAACACGATAGGCTGCGACTTTAGCGGGATCGTCGAAGTCGCAGGCTCATCGTCCATCATGCCCACTGGCGTCCGGGTCTGCGGCGCCGACTTCCCTTACCGACCTGACAATCCTTCAAACGGTGCCTTTGCACAATACGTCGTCGCGGATTCGCGGCATACGATCAGAGTGCCGGACGGGTGGAGCGATACGCAAGCGGCGGCTTTAGGGTCCATTGGATGGTGCACGGCATGTCTGGCCATCTCAGACCCAGAGGCGCTGAATTTGAAGGGACTGCCGTCGCGTCCCGCAGAGAAGCCAAGTCCTGTGTTGGTTTATGGCGGTGCCACGGCGACGGGCATCATGGCCATACAAATGCTGAAGCAGTGGGTTGAGATCAGTCCCTTGGAGATAGACAGAAACTCACCTCAGACAGATCGGGCTATGCACCAATCGCTGTCTGTTCCGATAAATCAGCACCACTCGTCAAGAAGTACGGTGCCATTGGCACAGCATCGTACACCTCGCAAGATTGCGCCAAAAACATCCAGACCCTTGCTGGTGGGATGCCAGTCAAGCACGCCCTTGATTGCATCACGGATGCAGAGTCTGCTGCAATTTGTTACAGCGTGCTGGCCAGGGTTGGAGCGAGATACGCATGTCTTGAAGATTGCCCTGAACAATGGCGAACAAGGCGCGCTGTCAAGTCGAAGGCGGTCATGGGGTTCGAAGCACTTGGGTACGACGTTGACTTGGGCCATCCGACATACTCGCGGAAGGCGAACTTTGGACTGCATGATGTTGCTGCGCAGTGGGCTCGAGAAGTGCAGTCGCTGTTGGAAAGAAAGCAGCTCGAGACGCAGCCCATCAAAGAGGTGAGTGGGGGTTTCGAGGGGGTCATCAAAGCGCTTGAAATGTTGCAAAGCGGCGAAGTCAAGGGCGAGAAGCTCGTGGTCCAAGTATCAAGTTAGAGCACCGCATGAAGAAACCCTGTCTATGACGTGCGTCAGAATCACCTATCACTCGCTTGGGGAGAGGGCAAGTCTTTGAAATGGAGTTGATTATGACTACCTGTGCCAACGTGCGCACATCTAAAAAGGCTCTGCGTCTCCTGACGAGCGGGGACATCGTCGAAAGACATGCTGCGGTAAACATCCCACCAATATCATATGCTCACGCCCTGACATCCATGCCTGATCCCTCAAGGGTGGGAATCCTGCGAGCCGGGCTCCTGAGAGTCGGGGATCTCGTCCTTCTTCTTGGCGATCTCGTCCTTCTTCTTGGCGACCGCGTCCATCTTCTTGGCGATCTCATCTTTCTTCTTGGTGATCTCGTCCATCTGCTTGATGATCTCTTCCTTCTTCTTGGTGATCTCGTCCTTCTTCTTGGTGATCTCCGTAGCCTCGGGGACAGTGGCATCGTCCTTCTTCTCGGAGGCGTCAATGATCTTGGCGGGAGAAGCGTCCGACTTGGCAGGAACAGCTTGGTCTTGAGAGGGAATAGCACAGTCCGTCTTCTCAGAGATGTCAGAGCCCTTGGCAGGGGCATCCTCCTTCTTGCCGGTGGAGCCATTCTGATCGGCCTTGACGGCGGTCTCCTTCTTGCCTTCGATGGAAGGGTCCTCGCGTTGATGAGCAGCTTCGTTCTTGTCCGCGATGGACTGGAAAGTAGCAGCGGCCGAGCCGGCGGGAGGGCGATGGCCAAGAAGGCGAGCCTGTTGGAGTCAACGTCAGTAGGTCCCAGACCTCGAGGCCGGGGATGCAAACATACTTCAGCAGTCTGGAGCTCCTTGGCATCGTCTTTGGTGATATCCGACTCGGGCTTGCTCTTGAGATCAGCTTCCATCTTCAGCACTGTCTGCTGCTTGTCGTGCATGCTTTGAGCAGTTGCTGGGATAAGATGTCAGCTGGGGACGAAGGGTGGAAATGTGCAGCAAATGGGATGTCATACCAGCAAGACCATTCTTGACGGTGTGGTCATTGCCGGTCAGGGCCTTCTCGGCCTTGTCGATGTCGGCAACCTCCTTGGCCGTGATGACGTGACCGTTCTCGGCGAGCTTCTGGATGGTCTCCTTGTCGGTGGCAGCCATGATGTGCAATCTGTTGGGTTCTTGGGTTTGTGTGGGAGAATAGCGGAAGAAGTGGTGGCAATGAGGCAAGTTTGGTGCTGATCGAGGTTGGGTGATGTTGGAGGTGGGAAATTTGAGAACGTGACCGGGGGAGAAGAGAGACCAGAATAAATACCCAGTGAAGTCGGCTTCCTGTCGGTTCCTTCTCCGTTTGTTCGTTCTTGCACTTTCTGTAGTGAAGCTTCCATCACGGGAAGGTGCATACTGTCAACAGGCAGTCGTGGACCCATCTCCTCCTTCTGAGAACAAGAAAGTGCGTCCCTGGGAGTTGGAGAAAAGCAGGAGCTTCTCCTGGATGAGCAGGAACCTACCTAGATCTTTGAAGCTCGATAGGTTTGATGCGGATTAGGTAGTCTTGCAACCTTTCTAATCTCAACACCACCTGCCTTGCACGTAATGATGCCATCAGAGATCTAGGGGGCGGAAACCTCGATGCCCACCCCGCCACCTAAGCTGCTTATTCATGCAGACAGTCCCAAGATATCATGTGTTCAACGTGTCTACTGATTTTGAAAATGGTGAAGTATCATTTGACAACTGATTAGTTGTTTATAATGATTCCGCTAAATATAAATTTCATCTTTGCTCCTGCTTGAAAGCGCCTAGAGCTCGCAAAATTCGACATGTATGCTTCCAAATTGGGAAATGTCTTCCTGTTGCTTCCGATGAAAACACAGTTTGAACCGTCTCCAACGGAGGCAATAGAGTCACTTCTTCACTGTCGGAGCCTCTCATCACTGCAACGATATCGGCATTGCTCCCATAGTGAGTATCAGTCCTTCCGGCAGCCCGTGAGATGAATGGCTTTCCTTTTCCGTAGCTGATCCAACGTTGAGAGTCGATCGTCTCCTGGCCATCCAACTGAACCATTGGCTCGTCCTGTCCAGGTTGTGCTTCGCGGTCTGTCATCGACAGCTGATGCGTTGGATACAACCCGTAGACCCACAAACTCAACATGGCCTGGTAACATGCAAACGCGTGAAAATCTGCTCTGTCCTTTGGCATAATGCGTCTCGCGGCACGCAGAACTTGCCCGGCGTGCCATGCCGCACGCCTAGCTTGTTGAGTTCTTGTCCAGCTTTTCAACCGCTCGAACGCCTCGTGAGAGGACCAGTGGTTCTCGCTACCTAATAGCGCGTCTATCATCGGCATGGGCGCCGCGGTGCAGAACTCGTTGTATTCCAAGAAGAACAACGTCAGGGCATGACTTTCGACCACCCCCGATTTGAGAAGAAATCTGGTATCATCTAGAAGCCTCAAAGCTGATGCGGTGACCCTCCATGAGTCCGGGGCACGGGATGGCCAGTCCGCTTCGCTTACGGCGTCTACGGTAAGAAAACGTGTGCGGGCTTCGACCAGGATTGGTGTCAGAGAACATGAAACTACCAAGACCGCAAAGTTGAAGTCAACCAATGGCGTCAATGTCTTTAGAACTGAAACTTCAGCTAGACATCTTGACAGGCTGAGGCCTTTCTGGTTTTCCAAGCCGTCTTTCAGACACTCGTGATATGTAATGCTCCATTCCGCGGCAGAATCTGCCAGCCAAAGCTTGGAGCTGTCCGGGAGAGGAGCAGTCATGTCGTGGCTGGGTAATGGAGAGGGTGTATTTCTGAAGGCACTCCGTTGTACACATTGTAGGTAGAAGCGGTATACGGTTCTATTACAAGTCAGTTCCAAAAGCACATGAAAACTTGTGTCGGAAAAGATTTGGGTCACGGCAAGGATATTGAATCACCTCTTGAAGGATTCTTGGTTCGCCCACTCAATCCATGAAAGTCGCAATTCTTCTTCGTCCCCGTCCACAGGCGGCGTGAACGACTTGTAGGACACGCGAAACAATCGTTTACTATGGCGTAGTATCTACGCCCTGCTTATTAGCTTCAGGAGCTGGTGAACAACGCATCTCTGGCATGCTTTCCGTACCGACGCAAGAATAGCCGAAGTGGCATCAGACATCTCAGTCTTTCGCTGGTCTCCACTCCAGAGTGCGCATTCGCACACCAATGTCATGGCCTGGATGTATGTCAGGCTGCGGGTGATTGCGTTGTCTCGGTCGCCCTGGGACACTGTGAGAAACTTGAGAGCGAAGAGGCTACCGGACCAACTCACCGAATCCATAAGAACCATTCTTACCACATCCATCAACGCCAATCCGAATTCATTTGCCGAAGGGTGTGTTGACAGGGCTGCACCAGTCGATATCATGGCAGCGAGAAGTAGAGGGTCGCAGTCAGCGACATTTAAGGTGGGAAGATGAATCATTCCTGCGGTTTCGTCTTGCTGCCTGGTAAGAAATATCTGGAGCATCTCTCCGAGAACCCTTGCTGACGGGAACGAAGTCGCTGCTGCCAGAGTAGGGGGATTTGCGGAATTCTTCTGAACCAGATACACAATCTGGTCTCGCTTCTCTGCGGTCAGATGATGGCTTGATAACGACGAATCGTATTCTCCCATCTGCCCAACCATCGAAGTCTGCTTTGTAACAGATATGAAAAGACTATCAGTCTTGGAAGAAGCTCCCTGTGCTGGCTTCCAGTTCCCCAGCGTGTTATCAAAGACTTTGCTCGCCTCATCAGAGACGACACTCTGATCACCAGAGTCACTTGGTAACGATGGCCGCGTTTCTGTTCGTAGCTTTGCCGGTGAGCTCGGGGCCAGCATAGGTGCAAGTGAGGACAGCATGGATGTATCGAGCTCGTCATTGATCCCAAAGATATCGGGTGCTCCAAATGAAGCGAGGAAATCGTTGAATAAGAACGAATCGTCTGTCCATGAGCCCTGCTCGATGCTCAAGCCTACAGCAGCTTCTTCAGCTACGATGGTTGTGGCTGGAGAAATGGTCCTCGAAGGGACGAGGGGAGAGTCGTCTTCTTGTGCAAGCCCGCACCGATCATCGGCAAACCCAAACGCCCCGGCACTTCTGATGCATTCAATACCCTTCCGTCTACATCGATTGCAAGTCTTTTGATCGTCGCATCTGACCTTCGATGTTGCGCAAGAATCGCATGCCTGTGACGCCCGAGGCGGTCGGCGGGATAGTTGCCTCCTCTTGGCAGACGGGCGACTATCCCAATCAATTACGTCCTTTTCAGGCTGGACTCGCTTTCGACCTTCCATCACAATACCCCTTTTATCTTCTTGGTATGGTCTTGGTTTTTGACTAGATAGAATCAGGGATGAGTCAGTGGTTTGTTGTACCTATGAGAGCCATCGGTTCGTCATGGACGCGCGCGGAGATCCACTTACGATATCAAGTTGCCATGAAAATGAAACAAACTGAGAGACATTGCCGAAAGGCAAGATGCATTTTTTTAGACCTAAACAGGTAGTTATCTTTCACACTGCTAGGCAAAAAGGGGTTGATTCGGACGGACATGGAAGTTGAAGCTGCGGCCCGCTCCTCGTTGATCACTGACGATAGTGTGGGGAACGGCCCCTCACCAGCGTCTTGTAAGCGGCTTCGCGGACAGCAACCAAGCCCGAGAACACGGTCATGGTTTTGTGGTTTCCACAAGCGTGCCTCTCCGTCGCACACTAGATCGCCATCCTATCAACGCGATTTTGGGGTGGTTAAAAGAAATGCAATAGTTGGCAGATGCCTTACGTGGGCTGGGTTGCACCATCCATGATTCTGAGCACCGATGCATACAAGAAGACTCCCTCCTACGAAAGTCTATAATTCCTGAATCGATATTTGTTGAAAAGCTGACGCCTATCCATCCCACGCAAAGTGGTGCCTGATTTTGGATCAAATGTTTACTGAATAGCTGCTCCGCGGCACTCTCTTTCGATGAGTCGCCGATGGGACTCACTTCGGACCTTGATCTTCACCTGGAATGACGGACCATCCTTCATCACCTTGGGTGACTGTGAGGTGTCGATCTTCGCGCCAGGTACTGGCAGAATGTCGAAACAGTAGACTAGTCGAGCCAATGAGATGTGCAAGTTAGTGATAGCTACGTTATAGCCAACACATAGTCGTCGCCCTGCATGGCATTTAAGATTTAGCCAAGACGGAACCGATGGACTTTGCCAAGATGAAAATGGCTTCTTACCTGCGCCGAATCCGAGGTGTCCCTTGGCGGGCTTATCAAGATCCTCGTTGATGAATCGCTCCGGCCAAAATCTCTCCGGCTGCTCGTACTCGTCCGTGGAATTCGCAATCGCCCATTGATTATACGTCACGATCGTTCCTGCGGGAATTTTGTATCCTTCGAACTCGTCGTCCCGCATCAACGCGTGCGGGATTCCCGTCTCAGCAATCGTCGGCCTGGCATCGAGACCCGTCAGCGAAATACTTTGTGCATTTCCCACCATCCACATAAGACGGCTTCCGGGAGCACCAAACTTACTTCCATCGAACACTCTCCTTCACTGCTCCCTTGATGATTGGCAAGTTCGGCATGTCCTGGGCGGTCGGCAGTCGCTCAGCGTTAGAACCGCATACTTCATCGAGCTGTGTGCGAGCACGCTCAATCCAATCGGGCCACAACGCGGCGGCGGCCACACACTGGTCCAAGGATGCGCGAGTGGTGTCTGTACCAGCTTCCATCAGAGCGCCTGCCATGAACAGGAACTCGTCCTCGGTGAAGTCCGAATCATGCTGCTTCTCGAGAAATTCCGTCATGAAGCAGTCCCGTTGTTTGCCCTGCGCTCGGCGTTCGCGAAGTTGATCTAGTTCTCGCTTGTATACCCTGTGTGACTGTAAGCGATTGTGCAGACCAGCTAGTCCGGGTGTGGGAGTCTCACGCGCGAGTACGCTTATACAAGCCGTCGCCATACCATCGCCATGGCTGCAGACTTTTGAACCATGTGATTTCGGCGAGGAAAGGAAAATGGTCGACGATCGCGCGGCCGGGCATGAGATACTCGACAAACTCCTCAGACACGGCAAGGGAGTCGCTCAAGTTCGCATCGTCAACGCCGGCTCGACGTCCAAAAACAACGCTCATAATGACCGAGCCGGAAAACGCTCCGTGGCTCTTCCACCATTCATCTGGACGTTCGAGGTAGTTGAGCAGCAAAGCCTTGGACTCTAGGTCTTGGAACGGCTCGAAGATGTTGCGCTGTGTAGCATTCAGAATCTGATGCATGACCTTGCGCTCTCGACGCCACAAGTCTCCGTAGGGCATCAGGAGAGTTCGCTTGCCGCGGGACACGAGGTCGTAAGCCATCGGCAGGTTCATTCTCGAGGAGTATATGGCTGCTCTCTTTTCCAGGAGCTCGTTGACAGTCCTTTTGGAGTTGAGAAATAGCCAGTTTGTTCCTCCGATGTTGATTGTGAACCTAAACGTAGGGCTCGTGATCAGCGGCACTTTCTTGTAACTTCTTGGTCGACGATATGGTGACACAGTAGTTTTACTTGAGCTTCTTACATTTCGCCATACTTCTTTGCCAAGTCTTGGAAGAATAGGTATGGAAGGTCTCGTGGGATTTGATGGGCATTCCCAATCAGTGGTAATCCGGGAACCGGGTTGGGTAAACGGTATCGCTTCTTAAACTGTATCACCTTCGCGAACTTTCGAACCAGCCATGCAAATAGAAGAATTAGGATGCATGTCCCAAACGCTTGACTCGACAGCATCGTTTCTGGAGAGAGGAACCTCATCGTTGCGTGGCGTTGCCGGAGATCAGTGGGTGTCAGGGACATGACAAGAACAGGCAACGCGATTCGTAAGAGAAGAGAAGCTATTGCGTGACTTCGACGAACTCATGGCTCTCAGGACCGGAGCTAGCAAGTATTTAAGGAGCAACAGCATTTCGCCCCCCGGCGTGGAAAGGTGATGACCGATACTCGCCAGTATCATTGTGCAGAAACTCCCCGATGCCCTGGAAATCTTCGGGGCATGCCGATGCCTCTTGCTTGTGGATTTCGTGTGGTGCTTGGACATATGTTCATCAACAACCAGACTTGAGGTACCGGTGGATCGGGGAGCGTTGACTCCCCGAGGTGGAGGCTCGGCATGCCGAGAACCACTGATTGGCTCAACGGCCGAGCCTCTCCGTTGAAAACCATGACACGTTGGAACGGTTTTATTACATCTATGATCTTGAATTATGTTCTGAATTGTCCAAAGTTAAGCACTTTGGAAAAGAGGAAGGGGTGCACGCTTCTCCGAGGGCCGTACCAAGTGCGGAGTCGGTTCGGTTTTTGAAAAGACCTCGACCAACCGGGACTCTGGAAAGCAGTGTCAGAGCCGATATGATGCTTGAAGCGATTTCTGTATAATCTAGCCAGGGTTGAGGCGAAGAGCTTATAAGGAGCTAACACATTCTGTTCTTCTGATGAGAATGCCCCGTCAACCTTCATTGCTAACCCGAGGTTTAATTCAACTAGGTACTTGAAGTGATGTCTTAGGCGAAGGTTGGGATCAGCAAAGTGGGCAGGCCTTGAGATTATGTCCCCAGCTTAGATTGCTCATAGTATCAGGCTAGATCATTCATATAACTCATGCAGAATTGTCTTGCTTACGCACCTCGGACTCGAGCCAAGACTGCATCCACCTTGACCAGCCTGTGTAAGCCTCAGCCTCCCAACAAGCCATCCTGTAGATCCTTCCCCCGCTAATGCCAGCGACTAAATTTAGACCCCAATCCTGATCGCATTTCATTGCTATGCATTCTCGCACTGAGCCCCGCACTTACCCTTAGCTTCCTGTCCCACACGTGCACAACCGGGATCAGCTGCAAGTCGTCGGATTCTCGTGCGGTTCATCTGGAGCTTCTGCGAGGCGGAGTCTAGTTACATCCACGGAAGCCTATGTTTATGCTTATTTGGCTGAAAGGTCGGTTTCTTCCTGAATGCTGCGGAAGCCTTGGCGGGCTTGCCGTGGGTCGAGGCTGTTCAAGCCCTGCTGGAAGCTGTCAGTGCTAAGCCTGGGCCCGGAGCTGAGGCCGATCGTGAGATTTTGATGCCAACAGAAGCCTTGCTTCAGCCCCGCTGAGTACAGCAGTCCTGGGGCTATCATGAAGGTCTCTGCCATTTTCATGTCGATGCCGAGTAGATATAAAGTCGTAGCTGTTTTCCGACACGTATTCACATTTTTCGTTGCCAGCATCTCATTGTTACACACATTAACCGCCTTGTCCCACCCCAGAGTTTCACTGCATTATATCCTCTCTCAACCCGCCTAGTACAACCTCCTCGTCATTTCTTCACCACTTCAAAATGTCTTCCAAGCTCCTCCTCGCCCTGACCAGCATCATCTCTCTTGCTGCGTCCCTACCCTCCGCGCCTCGCGAATGCTCCCAAACCTCAGTACCGCCCAGCGCGTCAACCGTGACCCCGGGTTTGATCGCCCACCCCCAACACTTCAACGTCTACCAGTCCGCCTCCCAACCGAACCACCCCACGGACAACGTCCCACATCTCGACCTCCACACCAACATCACCCGCCAGGTCGTCGTCTTCACCGGCATCCCACCGTCGGCCAAGACCTGCTCGCTCGGTTGGCGCCAGGGCCCGATCGAGACCCGCGTCTTCCGCGTCGATGGCAACGGCCTCGTCTCCTCGCGCCAGCTGAAGTCCGAGGGCTTCCCGACGTGGACCACCGGCAGCGACGTGCTGATCAATCCCACGACGATCGCACCGTTCCAGGACGGTAGCGAATTTGTCCCGGGCATGGACTTCACCTTCTGGGACCAACCTGAGTTCTCCGCCCCGGCGACGCACGGCGGTCCGAGTGTCAAGTGCCAGGAGAGGATTGTCGTGGAGCTGGCGGTCAACTTCAATAACGGACAGGATGGACGCGTGTTTATGCAGGATGATGCCGAGAATGGATTGTACATCTCGTACTCGTAGGAAGGGTTTTGTCGGACGAGTTGGACTTAATGGTTTCGTAATCGGTTTACACGGAGAGTTATGGGTTAGTTTTGGCGTTGATTGGCGGCTTCTTTTGTCTTGATAATACTACCCATATTCGAGAAATTTGAAAGTTCTTCTCTGGTGTTCGTAACGAACTTGACTTGCTGGCAGAAGGCGGTGCGGCCTGGAATATCGTCATGTCTAAGCAATGACTCAGGAGTATACATTGGACCGAAAATAAGACATGTCCACGCGAAGAGTATTCTCAGTAACTGACAGGCAAGTATTCTTATCTACCAGAAGTATCGCTATCAGGCTTCTCGTCACAGTAATTAGAAGGATCAGGCAATCTAAACATAGCATGACCGATGTTATACGTCAGATGAACCGGGCCGTCTCCTCGAGCATTCTCTCGGCGGAGACTTTCCAACTCGACCATCGGTGCCACGGAACTCGCCTTCATCCTCTCCATGACTTTGCGCGAGAACTCTCCTTTCTCTTCTGAGCTCATGGAACTCGCCTGTACGAGCCAGGCGGCCTGGGCTTCCTGTACCGAGAAACTTACTGGTCCTCTCTACCAATACTAAGCGGCCCATCACCGAATCGCAAAACGACCAATGTCATCTCGGGCGGGAACAACTGCCCGCCGCCGACCTTATAAAAGACGTCCAGGAGCGTCTCTTGCGTGGCCATGATCCACGGGTGCACGGCGGAGACGTAGTCGTGGATCGTGACAAAGTCGCCGCCAGCCTTGACCTCGAGCTGGACTTATTTGGCCCGCGGGCGCCGGGTATCAGTTTTCGTGTCGGTACAGTCGCGGTGAAGCTCGACCCAAGCCTCCTTCCACTGTCGAATCACTCGAGCCGGAGGGTGGTTGTTGCGATCTGGGAATCCATCAGAGACACTTGCGACACGGGGTACCAGGTAGGCTCGAGACCGGCGACGGCAGGGCGAAAGTAGAGCTTGACGGCTTCGCCTGACTTGTAATACTGGCTGGCTGCGACCTGGATTGCGGTCTCAAGAGAGCCGTTGGCCGTCCAGAAGAGCTGTTTACCGGCTGCTGATGTGAGTGGGCGTACTGGGGATGTTTCTTCTGTGATTTGCGAGATTCGCTCCATGCTATTAGCGACGGACAAGCTGGTTGTGTCCATAGTTGATGGTTGTGTGTGTGTGTGTGTGTGTGTGTGTGTGTGTGTGTGTGTGTGTGTGTGTGTGTGTGTGTGTGTGTGTGTGTGTGTGTGTGTGTGTGTGTGTTGAAGATGCGAACCAGAGCAGCCAGCAGGATTTTCAAAGACCCCCGAATGATATTGCTCTGCCCCAAAATCGGAAGGACCCTACCGCCCCAGCTCGGGCTGGAAGCTGCGCCGCAGTGCCTGCCTCCTCCAACGTCCATGCCACGGCCCCGCCCCGGCAAAAGCGGGGCCTTCACTCACCACCGCCGCCCGACCGAAACACATTCAATCAAAATCATCACCAGACGCATTTCATTGCAAAATGAAGCAAAAAGCAAAGAATCGATTGCCGAATGAGGCAAAAGAAACGTGACAAGAGTGGGATTCGAACCCACGCCAATTTCTTGACTAGCACCTGAAGCTAGCGCCTTAGACCGCTCGGCCATCTTGCCTGTTGCAAATCAATCTCAGAATCTTGACCATGAGGGTTGAGTGAGTGAGGGCAGCAATAACATCATAGTTTCGTCCCGCCAGGTCGTCTTTTCACAAGCCAGCTCAATCCGGACCACTTGTTTTAGCTTGTGCATCAGAATCATCTCACAGAAATTACTATTTGTGACCGAACGGCAAGCCGCACAGCACGTTGTACTGAACCAACATGTTGAGCACCCACCTCAGGGCGTTTGAACTCTCTAACCCGCCAGTGTCCCGGGCGAGGTTGATGGGCTCTGAAATCCAACTCTACGCCACAATTGAAGTGTTGTGAAAGACGTCAGCATGTGACGAAGGCGCCTGAACGTTCGGAGCCGTCTATACCATAAAGCTAGCCCATGCGGATGGTAGTCAAACATGCAGCTCGGCTTCCTTGAATAACAGCTCTTGGCTGAACAAGCAGAGTTCTATATTAAAGAAACGTAAAGGGCTTTATGCTATTCAACGCCTCGCACTGATTTCTGCATTTCTCAGAATCCAAGCTCGGAGTCCAAGATGAGCGTTTTCTCTCCTAACGCCACGCTGTCTAAAGCCTTTAGGATAGGAGTCTTCGCTCGGATGTAAGCATCTAGACAAGGAGACCGCTTGGGCTCATCGACATACATATGCGGCGTGGCATACTCAAGGGGCGGCTGACGTTCCTCCGAAGAGCCCGCACTTACGGCATGCTCGTCGACTTGAGCTCGGCTCTTGCGAAATCTGGTTTAACTACAAGAATCGCAATACTCCTGGTTTGATCTCAACTATTGATTGTGACAGTATCGCACGTTCAATTGTAAGCGAGTACTTCCTGACTTGCGAATGTTCATGAGGTAGCATGGCTTCATTGTGATCGCAGTATCTCCCCGCCAGCCCTCTGAACTCGCCACACGAGAGTAGACTATGAGATTTGTGGCTTGAAATATCAAACGGAGGCATGCTGAACATATTATGCTCATCAGCCTCGGTTGATCCAACGGCGATGACGACCTCATAGACCATTTGAAGACTCGGAGCACATGCCGAGCAGGTTTATCTGCCGACAGATGTCACTCCGGAAAGTCGGAAGAACCTGGGTAGTATCAAATTGCAACGAGCTTTCTATTCTTGAGAGAACTTGAACCGCGAGATTACTGGCTGCTACGTTCGAAATGTGATGAT